ACCGCCCCGACGCCCCATTGTTCCGGACCAACTCAGGCCTTAACTTTCTTCTTCTCGCCTCTCCCCACCCCACCCAAAAGGCTGGCCAAGGGGTAGGCTGAGGGAGCTGACAGAAAATAAAGACAACATTTGCCTAACTCTTGCCTCTCACTCTGGAATGAGATAGGTGCTCAACATGGTTTTCAGTACTAAGGTAACATCCAGCAAGCTTTGCCGATACCTCTGAATATCACTTAGGCAAACACAGGCCTATTTAAGGACCTGCCACCTGATCCCTACTGGGCTACTCACCTGCCAGGACTTCTGTTCGTTTAAACAGATTGTCTGAGTGCTTTTCAGTATACACATTTGTAGCCTCTTCAGCTGGGTCCATTTTCCTTTCTGAGTCAGAGAGGTGAACTTTTTCCTTATCAATTTCTTCAGGTGACTGGGGAAGGAAAAAAAGATTATGAAGATTTTCTTTTAATGTGCTGGAACGAAGAAATAGTAGATAAGCACATTCCCAAGTTCGTTCTTTTCAAACACTGAGTTTAGGAAAGAATTGCAATAATCGCTTTGTGTGATGTGCATACCAGTGGGTGAGTCCTATGGTGGACCCACGTTGTTCATGGTTTTATATAACACCCATCACATGTATAGGCAAAATGGATAGTTAGTGAGTTCATAATAATCCTGATGACATGGTTAGGTTGTTTTAGTCGACATTTCGTAAGATCTCTTTCTCACCACCCTTCTGACTTTAGGCCACCATCCCCCTCTGGCTGCTCCAACCCAATAGCACTGCCCCAATTCTCCTCACTCCTTTATCATCTTTTTGCTACACAGGGCACTGTGATGACAGTTTCCTTGTTGGCATTCTCTCCAAGTGTTCTCCCAGGGCTCTGCCTGCTACCACTCTGTAGGGAGCAGCCCCCAGGCTTCATCTGTAATGCTCCCCTCTATTTATTCACTCTTACAACACCTTCACCAAACCCTTGGATTACAAAGAACTTCAGGGGGCCTGGGTTCTGCAAGTAGCTCCTATGTGGTCCTGATCAAATCATACCACTTTTCTGGACTTCATTTTCTATATCTGTCCAATGAATGGCACTCTCAGGTTCCTGAGTATCCTGCAAGTCTAAAGTATACTCTTCTTATAGAAAGCTCATCGCTATTTGGATACCTGGTAGAAGGACAGACAACTTGACAGATGAGAGAATGAATTATCTGGGTTCTAATCTAGGAGCCCTTTCACTATGCATTAGCAGTCAGGGAAGGGTTAGGAAAGGGAAGAGAAAAATAGGTTAATACTCAGGTTTGTGACTAGGGAAAAAGGAAAGCAAGTTCTGGTGGCGAATGAGGTGAGAATAAGTAGCTACTGTGATATTAGAGACTGAATTTAACTCATCCGTATCATCTTTGTCCCATTATTATGACAGATCACATGAGTCCCCTCAGGTTTTTTCAGTCCCTAAAATCATTTGAGAGAGTTGGCATTCCCTCTGACTCAGCTTCTGATCCAGCAGCCAGGAAGGAGCTTGCATTTCAGGGGGTCTGCGGGTGTGTGGACAGGAGGCCTCCACAGAACTGGGGCCACCACGTACTCACAGGAATGGTCCACCAGTGTACAAACTTCCAGGTGCTCTGGATGGAACATTCACTCTTTAAATTTAAAAGTTTTATTGTATGAAAGTAAGAGCTTGACTAATAAGAATTCTTCCAAATAGTATAGAACTAACCTGAAATACCTTAACTCCTGTATAGATGTACAAAGTGAAAGTACGAAAAGGCAGCAGAGATAATCACATTAAGCCAATTAAAGATCTGTCACATCCATGTCTGGTTGTTTGGATGCCACGGAAATGTGATGGAAGTAAAAGATGACGGGCAATGCTCTGCTTGAACAAACAACTGTGTTCTTTTTATTCTGTCACATAAATTTATAACAAACTAGACAGAATATCTATAACAGTGACATTAATGCCACAGTGATGCCCATTCAAAAGCAAAGTCTACTTTAATGGTATCATAGAGGCAATGTTTAATTTAGCTGTGCCATGTAACGACAAAATAGAAAATTTAATCACCAGTATTAATATTATTATCAGTATTATCATGATAAGTACCTTGAAAAGTGTTTGACACAATGAGTAGCACTCAGTACATCTCCCACAAATGGATGAATTTTTTTTTTTTTTTTTTTTTTCCTTTACGTGGGC